ATGGTGAATGGGCTTATAGATTCCATTTGGAGGAAAGTTGATAAACATTTAGAAGAAATATCAGCACAAATCTCTTGTTGATTTATACTAAAACTTGATGTTTTACCTGTGAGAAAAAGAGTTAGTAAAATGCAGATGCATGCATGATGTTCACCAGATGTGGTATTATGCTAAATACATAGGGTATGTATGAATGTGAGATGTATGTTTCTGCCCGGGAAAATAAATCCCTGACTGCTGCTATGGAAATTCTGGGAGGTTGAATCCCTGATTGTCGTTGGGGATGAATAATATACATATCTTCAAACTTTGTTGAAAGGATGCTTCTGCTGGGGAATATATCTTGAACATCAGTTGTTATCTGGTCGGATCCAGGCTTCACAACTTGCTGAGGATGAGACGAATTAATTGTTATCTGGTCGGATTCCAAGCTTTGCAGTAAATTTCTTGAAATTGAATAGTTATCCGGTCGGATCGAGGCTTCACAACAACTTGCTAGGGATACAGAGGTTAACTGTTATCTGGTCGGATCCAGGCTCTGCAGTAACTTGAAGTGGTAACTACTATCTGGTCGGGTCCAGGTTTCATGATTTTTGGAAAGTTATACTATTATTTGGTCGAGTCCAGGCTTTATAGCGTCTCTCTGGGGATCACAGTTAATTGTTATCTGGTCGGGATCCAGGCTTCACAATAAACTATTTGAAAAACTGTTATCTTGTCGGGTCCAGGATTTGCAAATTTCTGAGGTTGATGAGGTCAATTGCTATCTGGTCGGTCCAGGCTTCACAATAAACTGTTTGTGGATTTAGTTGTTATCTGGTCGGGTCTAGGCTTTGCAGATTTCTGAGGTTGATGAGGTCAATTGCTATCTGGTCGGGTCCAAGCTTCACAAAGAGCTTTTTGGAAAACTGTTATCTGGTCGGGTCCAGGCTTTGCAGATTTCTGAGGTTGATGAGGTCAATTTCTATCTGGTCGGGTCCAGGCTTCACAATAAACTGTTTGGGGATTTAGTTGTTATCTAGTCGGATCCAGGCTTCACAACAACTTGCTTGAAAAGATGAAGTTGAGAACTGTTTATCTGGTCGGATCCAAGTTTCACAGTAATGTTTTTGGGGATTTAGTTGTTATCTGGTCGGTTTCCAGGCTTCACAACAAATCTCCAGGGGTAATTGCTATCTGGCCGGATCCAGGCTTCATAATAATTTGTTGGGGTAAAGACAAACTCTACTGGGGGGAAGAAGTTAAACCTTGGTCCGGTTGAGTCCAGGTTCTTCTATATCTTTGAAGAGTTAGACTATTATCTGGTCGGGTCCAGGTTTCATAGTATCTTGAAATTGAGATCAACTGTCATCTGGTCGGGTCCAGGTTTCAGATACTCAAACTGGTATCTGGTTGAGTCCAGGTTTCAGCAACTTTGAAGAAGTCAAACTATTATCTGGTTGGGTCCAAGCTTCAGTAATAACTTGAAAATTGTGCTAATATCTGGTCGGATCCAGGCTTCATAGTATCTTTTTGGAAATAGTAAAGGCTTTGTTGACGGCTTTACTAGGGATCGGGGGTTGTGGCCCTATGATTTTCAATAAATCGAAAGAGAATTTAAAACGGAGAATTTAGACTTAGTCAGGTAGGACAAACTCAACTTTGGGAGGATACACTCAACTGAGGAGGGTAAACTCCGCTTGGGGATAATAGCCTTGGACGAGGAAGATATGCTCAACTGGGGAAGATAGGCTCAGCTGGGGAACTTTGTGGTGTTTGATTGTTATATGTTAAGGAAATTTGAACTCGGTTAGGGAGTTTTGTGGTTCCTTGATTATTGTTGGGGAAATAAAACCTGTTGAGGAGGTGACTTTCCTTTAGGAAGAGATTGACTTAGCTGGGTAGAAAGCGGCCAAGAGGTTGAGACTCTGGTTGGGGATTACCCTATGCAAAGAGACTTTGTGGGCAACTCCGTTAGGGGAAAAGTTTATCGTAGCCTCCCTTGTGGGGATAATGATAATGAGATAACTCTGTGGGGATATTTCATATATATTAAAGGGATGCTTACTGCTGCTTAGCAGGACACATGTGTCAAATAGTTTTTAATTATGTTTATATGCATACATTCATTCAATTTTAGCCATTGGACAAATTTGCATTCAAAACAAAGATAGAAATTTTGCACTCAAAGTACATTTGTATTGATATTTTTCCCATGAGTAGGCGTTCTTGTACAGAGAGACGGAGATCCTAGTAAGAGGAAGTCATCGAAAGGAAAACAAACATTGAGAATGAAAACAAATAGCCTTGTGAAATGATCTCATTGCCTTCCAACTCTAATATTGCCCCAATGTCTTCGAATGTCTCTTGCCGTTGATAGAAGTTGATTGGGTTGATCTCTGACCGTTTTGCACAATCCTTATAGGTTACTAACATCTCATGTATTAGCATCACGCTACGTTAAAAGTTCTATCTCTTCCTTGTATTGGCATCATGCTACGTTACAAGTTCGATCTCTTCCTTGTATTGGCATCACGCTACGTTACAAGTCTGATCTCTTCCTTGTATTGGCATCACACTACATTACAAGTCCGATCTCTTCCTTGTATTGGCATCATGCTACGTTACAATTATGATCTCTTCCTTGTATTGTCATCACACTACATTACAAGTCCGATCTCTTCCTTGTATTGGCATCACGCTACGTTACAAGTTCGATCTCTTCCTTATATTGGCATCACGCTACATTACAAGTCCGATATCTTCCTTGTATTGGAATCGTGCTACGTTACAAGTATGATCTCTTCCTTGTATTTGCATCGTGCTACGTTACAAGTCCGATCTCTTCCTTGTATTGGCATCACACTATGTTACAAGTCTGATATCTTCCTTGTACTGGCATCACGCTATGTTACAAGTTCGATCTCTTCCTTGTATTGGCATCACGCTACGTTACAAGTTCGATATCTTCCTTGTATTGGCATTAGGCTATGTTACAAGTCAGATCCCTTCCTTGTATTGGTATTATGCTACATTATAAGTCAGATCTCTCCCTTGTATCGGTATCATGCTGCATTACAAGCCCGATCTCTTCCTTGTATTGGCATCACGCTATGTTACAAGTCTGATCTCTTCCTTGTATTGGCATCGTGCTACGTTACAAGTTTGATCTCTTCCTTGTATTTGCATCATGCTATGTTACAAGTTCGATCTCTTCCTTGTATTGGCATCACGCTACGTTACAAGTTCGATCTCTTCCTTGTATTGGCATCACACTACGTTACAAGTCTGATCTCTTCCTTGTATTGGCATCCCACTACGTTACAAGTCCAATATCTTCCTTGTATTGGCATCGTGCTACGTTACAAGTCTGATCTCTTCCTTGTATTGGCATCATGCTACGTTACAAGTCTGATCTCTTCCTTGTATTGGCATCACGCTACGCTATAAGTGTGATCTCTTCTTTGTATTGGCATCACGCTATGTTACAAGTCCAATCTCCTTCTCTTCTCTGAAAAACGAAAAAAATTCTTTCCTCAACAGATATCATAAAATAAAATAAAAATAATAAGTAACCCACTCACACTTCCTTTCAGAACAAATTTTTGGCATTGGTATTTAATCATCTTCTACCTCGAACGCCCGAAAGGCACACGCCAATCATACTTTCAGGTTTAAGATGATTAAATAGGGGCAACTGTAATACCCCAAATTTGTCCCACCCTTTTTCTTTTATTTGGATTATGCATCTCGCCTTGTTCTCATGTAGATAACTTCCATTAGGTCATTCTGCATGTCATGCATCATTAATCCATAAATTTAGCATGGGATCAAGGATATTGAAGAATTAGGGTTGTTGTATGGCTTTAAGGTTCTCATCTTCACTCAAGCTTGAACCAACTGATTCTTTCATCAATCAGAGTTTGTCTGAAGCTAGGTTTTTAAATCATGAACCCCTTTATCACCAAGCTACAAGAACATCTTCATCACGGGCTTTTAAGCCATTAAGGTTCGTCTCAAGGAAACTTAGGTTTTTGTCATCACCATCACTCATATGCTTATAATCGCTCCTATCTACAAGGTTTTCCTCAAGACATTTTCTCCAAGATCATTAGTCATCAAAATGAGGTGCCTTTGCAAAGTGAATTGCAAGATTTAAATCATGGTACAAAGGTGATGTTGTGGATGCGTAATACAATCAAGGCATTATCATTGGAAATTCAATCGTGAGAATAGGGTCTCTAATAAGACGTGAGCATAGAAGGAAAGTTGGTTTTGAATGCATTTCTAATGGAGAGAAAACACAAATATAAGGGCTAATGCATTAGGGATTCAACATATCATGGGTCATTTAAGGCATGGTTCAGGTTATCACTTTTAATACCATTCAACATTGTTTTTGATTCTAAGTTCACCAAAATTCATTCAACAATACTCAAGTTGTGATTCAAGATATGATTCATTCAAGTGGAGTTCATTCAGAATTCAAGAAGCAAAAATATCAAAATCAAACTAGTCCATCCATTGACTTCATTCAAAAATGATTCAAGTTCATTTTCATTTCAATTATCATACATCATGTTCATTACACCATAACCATCACGTATCCAGACACTATTAATCATTTCAAATCCTCGGTGAATTACAAGTTAAAGTACAAGGTTGATTCATTTCAAAAGCTATGAAATTTCATTACAAACATCATGAGTTCATTATAAATTCTTCACAAGAAATACACAAAATCAATCAGATTGTCTAAATCTAAAGTCTAAACTCCGAGCTTCCATGGCACATCTTTGATTCAACTTCAAAACATTTCTATAACTTGCACCAATACATGCTACCATACTTCTTTGAACAAGGTGCTTCAATAATCTACAGGGAATCAGACCCACAAACTATGCATAAAGCAGCCCTGCTATGTCAAAACCATAAACAACCAAGATAAACATAACAAACCCAAGCATAAATCACATTTGCACCATGGCATTACAACCATAATATGACACCCTGCATATAACCTACCATACCACGCCAATCTTCATTACACGATCGACACATATCAGTACAAAGAAAAATTCAAGCAAATTTACCAGAAAACAATTATTATTAAGTCTGCAATTCTCTATCCAAGGATAATGGGGATTATCCATGAATGTGGGGGTGAAATGTATTTGGCTGAGCGCCAATAGGCCGAGGCAGCTACAGATTTCTTTGAAGCTGGGAATCAGAGGCATATCCAATGCTTGAAGTACTTTGTTCTTTATAACATGTTAATGAAGTCCGAGATAAATCCATTTTATGGGAAGGAAGCTAAGCCATACAAGAATGTCCCTAAAATATTGGCAATAACAAATCTGATGGCAGCCTATCAACGAAATGAAATATTGGAATTCGGGAAAATCTTGAAGAGTAACAGATGAACCATCATGGATGATCCATTTATCAGAAATTACATTGAGAATTTACTAACAGTCCATAACTAATTATCATAACAGAAATGCCATCACAGTTAACGGCCCCAGCTGCCTAACCAAATTAGCTACCTAGCCGCTCCAACAGAAAAACAGCCAACTAACAACCTAACAACCTCTAACCTATAACTAACTTTCCAACTCTCTACTAACTGTAACCAACCTTCCAAAACAGAATCCCAACTCCTAACAGAATTTCTAGCTACACTAACTAACTACACATTCCATCCTAACTGACTCTAACATAAAAATGAGAGAACAAATGAGCAGAGTAACAAAACTTTAAGATTGAGATAAAAGGGATCCACCCTATCATTATCCGATACATACATATATACATAAAAAAGAAAGATCACAAAAAAAATCACCATCTTCTCTCTCTGTTTCCTTCTTCCATCATCACCTTCTACATTTTCCCTCACTTTCTTCAAACATCACCTTCTTCTACAACCTCATCATCTTCAATGCACCTTCAATATCTTACAAAAATTCACCTTCATTCATCACATTTCAACCATCAGCAACAAAGATTCTGCATCGAATTATCATCCTCAATTCAATCCTTCAACCTCTGCAACAACAAGAACGCGCCATTGTTTTAACATAACACACAACGACATAGAACATCACAGAAGCGCATATTGTTCGCAGAAGGAATTTTAATCAGAAGATAAGGTAGAAGGAATATAAAAGGAAGAAAGAGCGAATATACCTGAAGATTCTCAGTTGTCTCAATGTTTCTCTCGGTTTCAAGAACTGCCGATGGTATACCGATTGGTAAGTAACGATTCTTCATTTCTTTATCTTTCTCTTTGTGAGCATGTAGAAGACGATATAATCAAGATCTGGAGCTACAATTCGACATCTAAATCCATCTCTAAAGATGAGGATTTCGACGTTCTTTGTTGAGATGTGGAACAATTTGAGGTGATGATGAATCCACGGAGGAGAGAAGGTTGAGACCGAATTGCATGAAGACAGCGGAGTTACGACGTCGTGGTGTTGGAGGAGTGAAGAAGATGGAGAGAATTGGGAAGCGCCACTGGAACTCAATTACAAAGGGATAACATGTTCTCACAAATAAGTTGGAAAGCCAAAAATGCTTTTAACCCTAACCCCCACGAAGCGCACCTCTTTTTGTATCCTTTCATATATTATTTGTGTTGATATATATTAATGTTAAATAAAAACTGAACATTATGCTGAAAAAATACAAATCCGAGGGAATCTGTTAAAGATGCTTGTGGGCTGGACCCAAAATTTGCATCACTTTAAGCCCAAGGTGCTCATTTTTGGAGCCTGAAGAACTCGAGCAAGAAAGAGTGATTATAATTCGGTTGGGCTATTGAGCCACTGTTGCTGAACCAAACCCCCAGTTACAGATTATGCACCCTCCTCAGTTTAGAATTATTTTTGTTTCCTTGGCATAATTTTCATGATAAAAATGATGTAAAAATAGCAGCATATTTTTCAGAATTCTTTAGGATTTTTCTTTATAATTTTTTTAGAGTTTTCTATCATTTTATGTTCAATAATCATTTTCGGTGTCATTTTTAGATAAAATTTTGTGATAGTGTGTTGATATAACTTTCACATCAAGGGAATTCGAGGAAGCTTTTAGTAGAGTTTTCTTATCACTTGCATGATTTGGAAGAGGCAACGGACTTTTTCCGTTCGGTATCATCGTGACCTTAATTTATTTCCCCTTTTACTAACTATTTAGTCAATTTTAATTACTAGTTTTACTCAATATATGCCATGTATTTCGTTTGTGATTTTTGGTATGGATTGTATGCAATGCTTTAATACTTGCTGCCTAATTTCACTTGTTGTATAGTCTTTCATGATCCCTTAGGTGACTTTGGTTCAAATTTAATCTTCGATTTAATTGAACTAAAATTAGACATTAGGATTTTAAACCCAGGCACGTAAACATTAGGTAGAATTCCCTCGAAATTCCAAATTTAGATCCATGGTGCATAATACCATTAGGTTTAGAAATAGGCTAGTCTCCCTTAGACTTTTCTTTCCCCTTTTGCATTTGCATTAAACAAGAACTTCTTTTTCCTTTCAAACTTCAAAACACTTTAAAATTACTGATGAGAATCATACTTCTGTTGAGTATGGGAAATGATAAGCGAGTCTCTTCTCGATCTTATTATTCTTTCATCTCAGGCCTAGGTTTGGTTCAAGTCTCAAAAACTCCTTTCATGGATAAGTGGAAAAGTGGCTAATATCTCTCTCTTGAGGTCAACTAGCCATTATCCGCAACAAAATACAAACCAACTCAAACCTTTTTGTGCGCCCAAGCACCTTTTCTCTAAAACCCTCTTCAGGTAAGGACATGATTAATTTACTTTTGTGCCAACGCATAAGTCTCTAAAGGTCGAGCTGCGGCAGACGACGGAATTAACATCGTACATAAAAAACACAAAACAAACAAAAACATGTGAGCCAAACTACGGTAGCTTTGATTCCTTAAAAAAGATACATAGGCATTAGGGCAGGGCCCAAGCGAGTACAACTTTATTTTCCCTACATTCTTTTCTCATTTCTTTTGCATGCATTCTTCCTCAGCAATAAACAGTAAGCATAGTTTAAACACACCCATGAGATAGAACAACAAGAGTGGATACCGTAGATTACTGCGGGCGTGTGGGGTGCTAATACCTTCCCCTCGTGTAACAGACTCCCTTACCTGATCTCTTGGTCGCAAGACAGTGACTTCTCCCTTCTCAGGTTTTCTCGATGTTTACCTTTCCCTTCATGTGGGATAAAAGACGTTCAATGGCGACTTCATTGTTTGATGATTTTAGCCGTTTGTTTCACCGGGGTGCCCTTATTTTTTCCTAGTCTAGTCGACCTAGCGAGTCTTTGCTCATGTATAGTATCTTTTAACTATGTCTGTGTTTACAGGGTGCAGAATGTCGTCACCATCCATAGTAGTTAAGATCATAGCTCCACCAGAAAATACATTCTTGATCATAAATGGCCCTTCGTATGTGGGAGTCCATTTTCCCCTGTGATCACCTTGCAGAAGGATAATGCGCTTGTTTATTAGGTCACCTACCCGATATACCTGACATCTGACCTTCTTGTTAAAAGCTTTAATCATACGTTTTTGGTACATCTGACCATGACAGACAGCCGCAAGCCTCTTCTCGTCACTCAGGTTCAACTGGTCAAGTCGAGTCTGGACCCATTCGTCTTCATTCAAGCCTGCATCCTTCATGATTCTCAAAGAAGGGATATGGACTTCGATGGGTAGGACAACTTCCATATCATATACCAGAGAGAAAGGAGTTGCCCCTGTTGACGTACGTACTGAGGTACAGTAACCATGAAGGGAAAATGGTAACATATCATGCAAGTCTCTGTAGGTCACCGTCATCTTCTGTATGATTTTCTTGATGTTTTTATTAGCAGCCTCTACAACGCCATTCATCTTCGGCCAATTAAGAGAAGAGTTATGATGCTAAATTTTGAATTGCGTACATAGTTCAGTGATCATAGTATTATTGATATTGGTACCACTATCCGTAATAATCCTTTCTGGAATACCATACCGACAAATAAGGTTATGTCTGATGAATTGGGCCACAACGTTCTTGGTAACAAAAGCAAATGAGGCTGCCTCGACCCACTTTGTGAAGTAATCAATGGCAACCAGGATGAAGCGATGCCCATTAGAAGCGGTAAGTCTAATTTCTCCGATCATATCAATGCTCCACATTGCAAAAGGCCAAGGAGAGGTCAAGACGTTTAGAGGAACTAGAGGCATATGCACTTTATCAGCATAGATCTGGCACTTGTAACAAGTTCGGGAATGCTGATAATAGTCTGCTTCCATAGTGGACCAGTAGTATCCTGCCCATAGGATCTTTTTAGCCATTGTATTCCTGCTAGAATGGGTGCCAAAGGTACCTTCGTGTATGTCCTTGATGATCTTCTCTGCTTCACTCTTATCCATACACCGAAGCAAACTAGAATCGTGGTTGCGCTTGTAGAGAATTTCGTTACTGATGAAAAACTTGGCAGAGAACCTTCTTAGGAACTTTTTATCATTGACGAAAGCCCCCTCAAGATACTCTTGAGCTTCGAGGTATCTTTTTGCTTCATGGAACAAAGGTTTGTCCACTGCTTCTCCATGATCAATCTCATATCAATATGCCGGTTCGTCTAATCTATCAATAGTGATCTGAGGGGCTTCGTTATCCCATCTGACTTTGAACATGGATGACATAGTAGCTAGCACGTCTACTAATTGATTTTCCTCTCGTGGAAAATGCTCAAAGGTAACCTCTTCAAAATATGGAATCAGTGTCAGCACATGCTTCCAGTAAGGGATATCATTAGGATGCTTTGTGTCCCATTCTCCTTTGATTTGACTGATTACTAGGGCCGAGTCTCCATATACGCTTAGGAATTTGATTCCCAAATCGACAACAGACTTGAGACCCATGATACATGCTTCATATTCATCCATATTGTTGATACAATTGAAACACAACCTGGCAGTGAAGGGGGTGTGGCATCCTTTAGAGGATATGATCACAACACCGATTCCATTACCAAGTGCATTGGAAGCTCCATAAAAAAACATAGTCCAACGAGATCCTCTTTCAGGTCCTTCATCCGGTCCAGGTTTTTCACAATCAGTCACTAACATGATGTTCTCGTCCGAGAATTCAAATTTCATGGATTGGTAGTCGTTCACAGCTTGATGAGCCAAATGATCAGCTAATACACTTCCTTTGATTGCTTTCTGGGTTGTGTACTAAATATCATATTCGGTCAATACCATTTGTCATCTTGTTATTCTTCCGATGAGAGCGGGCTTCTCAAAGATGTATTTAATATGATCCATTTTAGATATCAACAAGGTAGTATGAGTCAACATATATTGTCTTAGTTGGCGAGCAGCCCATGCCAAAGTGAAGCAATTTTTCTCGAGCAGTGAGTATCTTATTTCACAGTCGGTAAACTTTTTGCTAAGGTAGTATATTGCATGCTTTTTTCGACCAGACTCATCATGCTGCCCTAGCACACACCCCATTGATTTCTCTAATACTTTTAACTACATGATCAGAGGTCTTCCTTCAACCGGCGACATAAAAATTGGAGGCTCTTGAAGATATTCCTTGATTTTGTCAAAGGCAATCTAGAAGTCGTCATTCCACTTCACGACTTGATCTTTCTTCAATAATTTGAAGATTGGCTCACAAGTAGCGGTGAGATGGGAAATGAATCTGGAAATGTAGTTTGGACGTCCCAAGAATCCCCTAACCTCTTTCTCAGTGTGGGGAGTTGGCATTTCTTGTATAGATTTAACCTTTGCAGAGTCTACTTCAATACCTTTGACGCTGACAACGAAGCCTAAGAGCTTACCAGATCTTACTCCAAAGGTGCACTTGTTCGGGTTCAGTCTCAACTTGTACTTCTTCATTCTTTCAAACAACTTTTGTAGGTGATTAAGGTGCTCTTCTTCAATCTGAGACCTGACTATCATATCATCGACATATACCTCTATCTCGTGATGGATCATATCATGAAACAAAGCTATCATAGCACGTTGATAGGTTGCCACATTCTTCAATCCAAATGGCATATCTTTATAACAGAAGGTACCCCACTGTGTAACGAAGGTTGTTTTCTCCATATCTTCAGGTGCCATTTTAATCTGGTTATACCCAGAGAAACCATCCATGAAGGATAATACCTTATGTTACGTGATGTTGACAACCAGAACATCAATATGGGGAAGCGGGAAGTCATCCTTGGGGCTTGCCCTATTCA